TGCTCCTTTTCTTTGATATGATTCTAAATGCCGTGTTGGGTTATTTTCTTAAATTTAGGGGCGGGAACGGTTGGGAGACAAACCGTTGTTTGTTCTTGTGAGCTGAACTTGACCATTGAGTTATGGCGGCATTTGTGACATGGTGCACAGTGTCCATTGTTGTTGCCCATTTAAGAGAAGTAACTTTGCCACTCGTATCATATCATGATTCTAACTACAGAGAGTTGCACCTGGCTCTGGCCAGCTGACTGTAATAAGCGCTAATGGTTGCTTTCTTTGGGTTTTTCCCAAGTTCCGAGTATTGAATATTGATCATAGCTTCAACTATGCACTCAGAATTGTTTTACGTGTTATATAATTTTTCACATGCTCACGTGTCGTTCATTGTGTGTTTACTTAACCAAGGAAGTTTATAATCTAATTGTAATTTCTGAAAGGATAAGTTTTCGCCTGGTCCGGGACTTCAGAAACATAAATGGTTAATTGCAAAAAAGAGTAAAAGCATCACATATCTTTGAATGCGGAAAATGAAAAATTCACTCTATGTAAGGATGTTTTTAATTAGATTGAAATTTTCTGATCTCAATTGCTCTGGTTTAGTTTACTAGTTGTCTCGTCTATGTGTGTGTAGGGTTGGACTCGGGCCAGGCCGGGTCCGGGTTAGGCCTAGGCCCGGTGGGCTTTTGAAGGTTGGGGTGAAAGCCCGGGAGTCCGGGACCGGCCCGGGTTACCATTGGTTCCGAGCCAGTCCGGTTCTAATTTTTTTTGTTTGTTTTCTTGATTATTTTATCCCCTACCCCCATGGCCCCATCCCCCAAACCCATCGGAAACACCCAACCCAGCCTATTTCAACCTAGCCTAAACAAAAAAAATAAATAAAAAAGAAAAACAGGCCTGAACCAGGCCCGACTGGGCCGGTTCTCATTTTGGGTATCCCAGAACCGGCCCCGGTATCCTCCCTCAATCGGGCCTAGGCTCGGAACCGGTACCTGAGCCCTAGTAGTGCTGGGCCAGGCCGGTTCCCGAGCCGGGTGGCCTAAACCGTGTCCAAGCCTATGTGTGTGTGATAATTGTTGGTTGAAGTTTGGTCTAATTCTAGTCTATATAAATCGGTCTATGAGTGGGTTTCCCTTGAGTTTGCCACTATTGTTGTGAGTGTTGTCACTTAATAGTTAAATAGGCATTTGATTATTTAAATGGTCTAGCAGGTCTCTTCTCTAAAAAACTATAGCCAACCCGCCCTCATTACTTAAACTCATCTTTCTTAAGCGAGTACAATTATCTTTTCATTTCATTGGTTCCTGTAAATCGAGAAAATTCTTAACTTCATGTTTAGGCTTACTTTTAAATTTCAGAAAAGTATTCTTCCAATCAGTATGAGTTGATTGTTTTTTCATCAAATGACTACTTGAGGTGAAATTTATGATAGGTAGATTATCATATTTTGGTGATTAGAATGTTTATATAAATGGATTCCCTTACAATTAAATTATGATATACCCCATAATATTGAGTATACATTATTTAAGGAAATTACAATTATGGAGTCGGATGGACACAAATATATTGTAGTATCATACTCACTCATTTCATACTCACTCATTTCATCCTCAAATTGAGTTATGGAAAAACATATGGGGTGAAATGTGGAGACTCCAACGAGGTATATAAATTTTACAATAATTATGCTTCTTTGACTGGTTTTAGTATACCTACAGATTTGTTAAAGTAATAATGAGGCAGATGAGAGGATGATCCACCATTAAATTACTTATGTCACTTTTTTTGTATAATGTTTCCTAAATGCTCTACTTTTCAAGTTTATTAACTAACATTCACTTTTGTGTATGAGTGTATCATAGCTGTGATGCGACATATGAAACATTTGACGAACAAATACGCGTAGGGATTATTAGGAGTACATTTTATGGTGTTGTTACTCCATTTTTATGTGTTAAGTAATATTAATATTACTTCTGAAGTATTGTTATAACTTATAATAGCTCAATATGGGATGTTTTGTATCTCTTGCAATGGGTATACTTTCAGTGAAGATATTCCAAATTTTGTCACTGAAGCTCTTCCAAATTCATGTTTGTCCATTTGGCACTAAGTCCCTACGCTTGGGATAGGTCTATAGTTTCTCTCTTTGGTTATTTATCTTCTTAGTGGGTAATAGAATTGGGGCTTCACTCATGGGAAGCTTGACATAGACTATCACGCCATATGAATATTTCACAATATCTGCATTTGACACCAACAATCTTGTATACTCCGTATAAATATTTCTTATAATTGCATATGGATATTTCATGTTCTTGCATAGAATTACAATGAAATGATAAATTATGTTACAAAATTTTTTTAATAAAAGACATATCTACTAGTATATAATGGTGTAATGTTGCCTGCATGGAGCCATGGACAGCTAAATTAATCATAATGGTGAAATTTGGAATAAGTGACCCGGGATTGAGTCTCGTAAGCAGCAGTGTGAGAGTAGCTTTCAATGTTAGGTGGTTCCTTGTGCGCAACATACACTAATTTACTCTCTGTGTTTAGTTGAGTCACCATGATTTACAATCTCTCATATTTTCTACCAATTGTTGAGGGGCCATTGAGTTTGGGAATTCAACAAGTGTAATGTTGTACTTGTGAACTTGCACTAAGAGGTAAGGAAACGGAGATGGAGAAATTAACACATAAATACATATACAATACAAAAACAAAAACAAATTTTCTAGAATTCCTTGACCAATTTCATGAAGGAAACAAAATTTTGTTGTAGAAAACACGTTCCTCTCAAATTTATTAAAAATTCATCAGTAACTAAAAAATTAAAAACAAAATTCTAATACTCCGTATATATTTATCTAAAAATTATTGTAAGCCAAATATCATAAGTTCTCTGTTTTCCTAAAATATCAAACCACAAAGATAAGAAAACTCCACCATGCCATTAACACAAACATACATAAAAAGTAATCCCAATAGGTAATTAAACTAACGTTTATATAAACTAACGCTTATACAATTTAATTTATTTTCGATTTGAAATAAGCGAGATGTAAAATCACGAGATATAAATGAATAATATGGCATATTTGTCCAAAAAGTTGAATCCCCAACTCCAAAAACCCTCCACGCCCTGACCTGACAAAGCACATGGGAGGAGTTGTAAATCACGGTGACTCAACCACTCTTAACGGTGATAAACCTTATATCCGTGCGCACCAGAGGCCCAGCCACATAGTAGCTGTGACCTCCACACGGTCGCTGCGGGTTTCGATCCTTGATCATTTGTCCAACTTTCCCACGGCTTTACCAGTTGAGCTACCCGTGTGGATAATAATATGACATATCTATATATGTATATGCATGTATATGTATCAGGCGAATGTGGTAAGTGCTTTTGTTGTAAGTGATTATTGTGATAGTATATGATTTTTTTTTTTACTTGCTGAACGAAAAATGAGTATTACGGAGTATATGATAATACATGGTAGTTAGTACTTACAGATTTCTTCAACTTTATCTAAAATGTGATTATGTCAATGCTAATTTTAGTAATTTAGACTGCTCTACTCAACTCAATTTTAGTAATTGGTTGCGGTTCGAGTTTTTTCGATTCAATTTTCGGTTTTCGGTTTCTCCGACCCAACCCTAATTCTGACTAGTCTGGAATTGAAAAACCTTCAAATAGAAACATCTGATAAACTTGTGAGTTCGTTACTTCGTTTGGTGACAATGAAATAATAATGTGAAATAATAAAGATAGCTAGTAATGCACATGCACTACTACTCCGTTTTTGTTTTTTGAGAGCAGACACGTAGGAGTTTTAATGCCTGGATGCAATAGTAGTTTTATAAGTCAACATGTAAGTAGTTTTAATTACTCGGTACGGATTATTCTTGTTGAATCGATAAATAAAAGTACGGATTATTAGTGTGAATTTCACCTTATTTTAAATACTCCATATAATTCGGACCTACTTCCAAATTAAAGAAGCTAACATACTACCTATTTAGGTGAGTCTGATTTTGTTTACCTTCATTATAGAGGAGGATTGATCACCCTAACTTCCCTGCTTGTCATGAGACATAGTAATTTTTTCCAAATTATTTTACGTAGTGGTTTTTTATTTCCTTTCACAAAAGTAGTTTTTTTTAATTTGTGATTCAATTTTTGTAAAAGATATCAAATTAAATATTTTTTAGGATCTTTCTAATGGCACATGTCATTTAATTATTTTTTCCAAATTATTTTACGTAGTGGTTTTTTATTTCCTTTCACAAAAGTAGTTTTTTTATTTGTGATTCAGTTTTTGTAAAAGATATCAAATTAAATATTTTTTAGGATCTTTCTAATGGCACATGTCATTTAATTATTTTTTCCAAATTATTTTACGTAGTGGTTTTCTTTTTATTTCCTTTCACAAAAGTAGTTTTTTTTTTTTTAATTTGTGATTCAATTTTTGTAAAAGATATCAAATTAAATATTTTTTAGGATCTTTCTAATGGCACATGTCATTTAATTCAATCACCCTCTTTAAACAAAATTACTTTCTATTTAGCGGCGCTAAACAAATGGAAAAGTAAAGCACTGGAACAAAGGGTCAGAGAGGTAAAAAGAGAAAACATACACACCGGTAAGGGGGGTCACTTCGCAATCCCCCCAAACAGGATTCCCACTTCTCTCTTTCAGCGCCATGGCTGGGGCGGAGCATCCATTAAAGAAACGCAAGCTAGGCGAAAATCTTACAGAAACCTCACCTCCGGTGCCGCTTCTCTCACGACAGCTGCTACCCCCACCGCCGGTGGCGGTTCAACCTCCTCAACCGGGTCTTCCGCCAACGCCTCTGCAGCTATCACACGATGAAATTATGCTTAGGAGGAGGAACCAGGAAGAGATCCGAAATGTCTATGTATGCTACAATCGAATAAATTTTTGCATATCTCAGAAGGATAAACACCTCAAGCCTGACCTCGAACGAGCTTATCTCTCTCTCATAACTGCCTCAAGAGGTCCAATCTCTTCCAGCTCCGCCCCCGTTTCAGTTTTCTTAATCGTTTATATATTCATCTTCTTTCTTCGTGTGATTTTTAACTCATTTGGTTATGTTTGGTCAATGAATTTCGCTGGCGGTTTGGCCAATATGTTGAGGTTGGAGTTTCTTTTTTCACTGTTCTCCCGTTTAGTGTTTGAGGCGTTTTGCATATTTAGGCGCACATATATGTTTGACGTATATCAGAGTAGCTGGCACTTGAGAATATAGTGCTGGCTATCATGTGAAAGAGTCTTATATATGTTTTCTAGGGCTTGCCCTAGTTAACAATTATTAGTTATGCTAGAGTTTGGGTGTCTGTGCGTATCAGGTAGTCTGGCTCCCACAAATGAGATAACTATATGCACTTTTTTAGTCTTATTTTAGCTTAAACACTGCAGTTTCGAAGTAGAGTAGAAGACAATTTAAGGCATCCTATCACATGTACATACTATTCTTTATGCTATGTTATGCTTCTGGTATGCTCTTATTTGGAGCTGGCTTATATGACGTAACATTTATTTTTAGTTGTTTACTAGTCCATATAATGTATTGAGTGATTGAGGTTATGGGCAATTTAATACTTTAATGTTAAACACTGCAATTTTGAAGTAGAGTAGAAAAAATTTTAAGGGATCCTATCATATGTACACTGTAAATACTATTCTTTGTGCTATGTTATGCAGTTATGCTTCTGGTTTACTCTTATTTGGAGCTGGCTTATATGACATAATATAAGATTGCATGCTATGATGTGTTTGAAGTTTCCTTCTTCCTTGTAGGTGTAAGTGCACATATATGTCCTGCATAATACAAAAATCCCACCTGGGTCGTCTGATACACTTAATTGAACTTTTGAATATTGTTCTAAAATCGGTTAATCCCCCCCACCCGTTTTGGCTGCACAGGATGCAGTAGTGTGCAACGTCTAGCAGCGGAGCTTATTCCTAAATATGCATCATACTGCCCAACTGCTCTTGAAGCTGCTGTCAAAGTTTTAATTAATATGCATAACTGGAGTTTGGGAGTAATCAGCACAGGACAAGATGCAAATGGCATCGCATTTGACATAGCCAGAGCCTGCATCTTTGGCTTAGTTGATATCTGTGTAAGTGCTGCTGCAGCAGCACCAACGTCATCAGTTATTCAAGGCATCTCAATGACAGTGTTTCGTGATGCCGTGACCTTCTTCATATCCTCATTTGAAGGGAAGAATATCTCCCAGATTGTGGATAAAGAAATTCTGAAAAGTGAAGATGTTTTGGGTTCAGTTTCTCAATATGAGCAAAAAGTTTTAGCTTTGGACGAATCCTGCTTGCCCAAGTTATCAAAATTCCGTGCCCTAAGTCTTCTTAGAATTATCTTTACATGCACTAAGAATGTAATTGCAACTTGCTTTGACCTCTTTGACTCCAAGGATACCCACAAAGAAGGATATCACTTTCTAAGGCAGTTAACAGAGAGAATTGTTCAAGCTCCACCCCACTCATTGGATGATGAATGTAATGGATCAACGCTGTCTACATCTTCCCTGAAAAAAAACTGTAGTGGCAAAGATTGCAGTGTTGATGGTTTTGCAACAGGGAGTAAAACCACCCCAAAGCTCACAAAAGAGGTCTCCAAAAACTGCTTGCTGGGCCTGGTAATATTGATTTTTGTCATTTTTGTTTTCTTAGTCCCCACTCTCACACCCACCCATTCGGCGGTAGACAGTGTAAACTTATATTGTCTCTGGACAGACATTGGACATCAAACCACGATGTCTGAAGAGTCTCTAGATAGCACATTCATATTATTCCTATATTCTTTTTTGAAGACCTAAAACGAAACAGAAATATTGATTATTATAGAGAAAAGGGGCAAATAAGCCCTCAAACTATTTGCGATTTTGCAACCAGGCCCATGAATAAGAAGATTTGCATATACACCCCTCAACTCCTTGAAAACTAAGCAATGAGATCCTTTTTACCTGTTGGTGCCGGTAATTTCTCATCTCCTTACCTGCACCAGCAAGTAAAAAAGGTAAAAAAGGATCTGATTGCTTAATTTTCAATGAGTTGAAGAGTGTATTTGCAAGCCTTCCGGTTCAGGGGCGTGATTGTAGAATCGCAAATAGTTTGAGGGTTTATTTGCCTCTTTTCTCATTATTATATCTTGTACTCTGTATAAGCAATTCATTTAAAAAATGAAACCCAACTAATCCTTCACCACCTTGGCAATTCCCTGTAGCTTTATTCAGTGGTGAACAAGTCAAAAACCCTTGTACCAGCTTACTTTTATTTAATCATTTACCTAACATATATCCACCTCTCCCCCATTTATACCACTGCTAGCACACACCATGCCACCATGATAATATTTATTTAGCTATGTAGCTTTTTGTACTCGTGTGATACTGCATTAAATATACTTCTATTTGCCTAGTGCCTACACGTTTATTTTAATAGTTTTGACTTTCATCAAGACCTTCTTCTGTATTATCTACTCGGAGAGTACTCGCGACTCAGGGGTGGCCTTGCAGTTAGCACTATGACTCGCGCCTTCCCATTTTCTGAGTTACTCGCCGAGTACTTGGTGATTATCTGAATTCGTTTGCAAGTTTGACTCGGAAAGTTACTTGGCAACCACTATTTTTTGGGGTTAACTGAACTCTCAAAAGTTTAAACTAAAGTAAGATACTATAGAATCTATAAATAATGAGCGAGCATTGAGGATGAAGAAGAAAATGATGACCTTGGACCCAAAGAAGATTTATTTTCTTGTAAAATTATTAGATGATTGATTTTCTTGGAAACATATAATGTTTAATAATTTTCACTGCTTCATCATTAGGATTATTATTATTTTATTCATATCTAAGGATTAAAAGACTAATACGTTATTACAGTACTAGTTTTTTGTGGCATCTACATGTTTTTATTTAATTATTACAGGGCTGAGTAATCACCGAGTAATCCCGAAAACTGGGTCCTACTCGCTGCACGGCCTTGACCGAGTTGCTACTCATTAGCGATTTAACTACTTAGACCTTCTTTAAGGGCTTTTTGCTCCTTTTGCCCAAAAGCTTGCAGAGGGAAAAGTACCTATACTCCTATAGCACTTGAGTGTTAATTGAACATAAATCTTGCATTCTTAGACTATCCTAAGCTTTCAAATATATATATATATATATATATATATATATATATATATATATATATATATATCGGCATCTAATACTTCTTTTAGAATAAATATGACCTTTCCATTATCTCACATCCGTCTGGCCTTGGCATTCTCACACATCTATCTTAACATTTTTCAAATTTCATCTAACCTTCTTGCGGGCATTTTTGTTTCCTTTCCATTTTTAACTTGCTGATATAGATGCCTCAGACTGATAGAAGCAGTGGATTTCATCTCAGCATAGTTAAGTTATACATAACTCTGGCCTTCTGGGAGTACATCATCTTCAAATTTCCATATAGTCACATACCAATATATGTTTTTGATTTCATGCTTTTGTAAACACTAGTCTTGTCCGTTTAGAAGTGCATTAAATATGTTTTTAATTTTTTCTATTAAATCTAAATATTTATGTTAGTAAATATTCAGTTTTCTAGCTTTCACTCGCCTTCCTCAAGAAATTTATTAGCTAGTGTTATAGCATTGCTAAAGTTTATGATTAAATGCACATGTATCATTTTGGATGTACATATTTCTACCAGTAGGCAGCCAGAAGAAATCCTACCGTGTGCCTTGAAGGGACTTTGTTTCTACGTCTCTTTGGTCATCAGTTAAAAATCAATGTTACTCTTAACAACTATCTGCTTTGATTCACCAGAGAACTTTGAAGTCTAGTATCGTAATATGTTTCCTTTTTAGTTTGATAATAATAATAATAATAATAATAATAATAATAATAATAATAATAATAATAATAATAATCGCACTGGTAATATACTTATTATCACAGTATACCATTTTGCTACTGAATTTGTGGACACATGAGTTTTGTTAGATTTTCTTTAATGGCCTCTGCTGACAAGGTGTCATGCTTGTGTGCTTTCATACAGGTTCTAGACAATGACCTGTCATTAAAAAAATTGATCATTTCTAGGTATAAGAAGTTACACAAGCCGGGATATTCTCAGACTGTTTCATTGATTGCATCTATTCTGGAAGAAGTTTTTGACTCTTTTTTGGATCAAGTTACGGTAAAGGAGATTAAGGAAGAAGGGGAGGATGATTTGTGTTCAAGAGAGCATAATAATAAGTTTTTGCTTCCTAGAGCATGCAGTCAAGGGCATGCTTCTGAGGTTTCCAGAAGTTCAGTAGTTTCTCAATTAGCAGATCGCGGTTCGAATCCGGATATTTTATGCTCAAGGTCCTTGACTGTTGATTCAAACGAGCATGGTAATTTGTTGCATCACAGTTCAGGGGAATTGTTTAATGAACCAGTTTCTTCACCTATAATAAGACCATCACACTCGAGAAGTTTCTCCATCGATAGTGGAAACTGTAGTTCTCCAATAGAGAAAAGTCATATCCCCAACATGGATCATCCTCTACCTGCATTGAAAACTTCTTGTGAAGGTGCAGTTTGCGCCACTCCATCCCCCAAGCAACATTTTCCACTACACCAACCTTCAATAAATCAGGTGGCTTGGTACTGTGATGGTGACCCAGCTTGTTTGGATATATATCCTGCTTCAAAGCATCTCTGGGTTGGTTCTTTAGATCATACTGTAGCTGAAGGGTTTCTTAGACTTCAGTTTGAAAACATCGGTCCTTTGGACAATTTTTCGTACTTCCCCCTAAAAGGGTTTGCCTTGGTAGAGTTTAGGTACATTCGAGATGCAGTGAAAGCCAGGGATGTCATGCGTAGAGGTTCTCCTTGGGGCACTTCTCTTTGCGTTAAATTCTTTGATGCAGGATTTGGAACTAGGGGCACTATAAATGGTGTGGCAATAGGTTCTAGTTGTCATGTTTACATTGGGAATGTCCAAAACCAATGGGTAAAGGATGAAATAATCCATGAAGCAAGGCAAATGGTTATCAAGGGCCATGTTATGGTTACTGATCTCTGCAGTGAAGCTGCATTGCTAATGGAATTTGAGACTCCTGAGGAGGCTGCCATGGTCATGAATCATCTGAGGCAACGCCGTAATTCTAAGAATAGCTCTCCGCGGCCCCCAAATGCAGGTCTAGTGAACTCTACTATGCATGTTGAAGGTTCAAGACTGGCTTCCACCTACTCCGCCAATAATATGGTTGTGCAGTCTCATCATGCTCAGGCCATGGTTGAACAACAGACCAATGCCCACATGACCAGGTTTTAAAATCTTTATGTGCTTCAGGAGATAGGAACACTACTAGGAATTTAATGTTGCTATAAACCAAGGATATTTGATTGAGGACTAATGTAGTAATATCTGTTTTTAACATTCTATTCTCGAAGTGGTAAAAAGTAAAAACCACCATTTCCCCCATATTCATCTCTTGTTCTCATGATCAATGGTTTCCCTTGATCCATATAGCAACCCCATGCAGTGGGAAAAGTTTTAGTTTTTTTTGAGGGTTCTATTCCCTTGCTGATAGCTTTTCCCAGATGCTATTCTGATATTTTGGGCTATCTTTGATTTGTAGTTAAGTAGAAATGCTCTATGCTCTGGCTGATGAGAGAATGTGTGTCAATTGACCCTTTGTCAGTGAATCAGCCACATAAGTAATGCAAAGATTAGCATTAGGAATCGTATTACCACTTTTAGCAGTTTCCATTGTGCTTTGTTTTATCTAAATGTTAATGCTTATGACGCATCATTCAACCTTTTTACATAAAGTCATGTACACATACTAATTTCCCATGAAAAGTTTCAACTGTTTCGATTTAGGTATCAGTCATATTAAGCCTACGTTTAGATCACTATTCTGGGTAATTCTGAGGCTACTCATGCAACAGATATAGCCACTATATAGGTTTTTTTCTTCCTCAAATGTGCTTGTAGCTATTGTGGCTTTTCTTTTTGTAATCTCTAGAAATGAACTAGTTAAAGTTATCTTCCGATCTGTACCACACCATTACAGCTTATAATCATATTCAAGGAGTTTAATTGCTGTGTGCTTTCTACTTTTACAGTCAACCTGGAATGCATCATGTTCTTGTTTCTGCAAAGCCTGAAAATGGTTTTGCGGAGGATGCATCTCCTAGAACAAAGCCAGAACACAGGGCTGTAACAGCAAGTGGACATCATGGATTTCAATCAAACTGGAGACCTGTTGTGGGTCAAGGTTAGATATTATTTTGCTGCTCAACTCTCATAGTTTTCGATAGATAAAATGTACTTACAGTTTTCAAACCATCACATAAACATCAGGTGGAGGAATTTCTGGTAATGGTGATCAAATGTGGGCACATGTAAAACCTGAAAGAGAGCTCCACTCTGGACCAACCCAAGGACCTACTATGGGGCCATCAATCTCCATTCAGGGACCTCCTGTTGCATCACCACAACCTGTTCAAACGCCTCCAGCTGCACCACTTCATCGAGTTCCTGTAGGGTCTCCACATGCACCACCACATCCACATCACACACATCTAGTACTGCCACCACAATCAATTCAGCAACCTACTATTCCACCATCTCAGCCAGTGCGATCTGCTTTCTTTCGACCTGGTTACTTCCCGCCAAGTGGTTGGGATGCACATGCTTCAAACCATACCTTTCATCCAAACCCTTCCCCTTCTAGTAGTATTCATCACAATGCACTTGTACCGCCATATCTGTCTGCTTCTGTGACTCCCCTTTCTCAGACACAAGCCAGCTCAGCTCCAACACACAATCATATGGTCTACATGAACAATCAGCCTTCTTTGACATCTTTCCCTGCCCCACATCCTGAATTTCGATTTCCATTTACTCATCAACCCGTGTTTCATCCTGCATTTCATTCATCCCCACCACATCCAGCGCCACCTACTGCGCCTCCTCCGCCTAATTCCCCACCACCCCCCTCCCCCTCCTCCATCATCTGGATCTTTGAATTCAGAGAATTCCACGCAGTGGCAGGGAACCTTGAATAAAAGTGGGGTTCATTACTGCAATGTCTATGCACAGAGGGTAGAGTCTGTTGTGTGCAACTATTCAAGTTGTGTTGCTGAACCAACAGAGTAAGTAATTTAAATCTATTGTAATGCAACTGATGATATAGGGATAGTTTTCTCACTGTATTTTCATCACTCTTTTCCTATATGCAGATGGCCTGCAAAGTTAGATATGACAAAACGCACAGATTTTGAGCATATCAAATCTACATTTTCTAGTACCCCGCCTAATAAAGTGAGTTAGTCTTACTTGACCATTTTTTTGCAGTACAGCTTAGCGTCTCTTATTTCTTTAAAGCACAAAGGATAAGTCTACCTTTTTCTTGTTTCTTGTTGTTGAAACTTGAAAGTACAAACTACGAAGTAATGCTTGAGCTCATTTGCAGGTCTTTTGTTTATTATTATTATTATTATTATTAATGATGATGTTGCTACTACTCCCTCCATTTCTAACTGTTCTTCCTTTAGTTTTATATCCGTCTACAAGAGTTCTTCCACCCTCCATTTTTAGTAGAGTTTTACCACTAACTTTGCCTTCTCTTTCCAACTTTCTACGCTTCTCTCACTCTTCACTTGGTGTGAGCCTTCATTTCTAAAAATTTGAGCAAAACCAAAATGTTAAAGAATAATTGGAGATAGAGGGAGTATTTTAGGGAAAATTCCTGGCATTTGATCCTTTAAAAGGGCAGCCCAGTGGATGAAGGAATCCCCGCAAGGTGAGGGTCCGGGGAATGGTCCTACCACAAGGGTGTATAAGGGGCAAGCCTTCCCTTATCAAATTTTGACAAGAGGCCGCTGTCCCCCCTCCAAGCCTTGATCCTTAAAGTTTAAAACATTATTCAGAGGTGCAGAGGTGATCCTTTATTGAGTTATTCAAGTATTCTTCTGAGGATGTAAATTACCCTAGTCTAGCCTAAAAATCTTGATCATCCTCTTTCTAACACCTTAAAGAATAAAGACTCAATTTAGCTTTAAAAGTGATCATCCCTAGGAGGTACAGAGTTATCAAATCGAGATTCAAGTCATGAATCGTAAGAACGATTTTGTGAATCATGAATCAACTGTGTTGTGAATCTTAATTCTTAATATACATTACTTAGAAAAATATACTACCTCTGTCCTGTAAAACTTGGCCAAATTTCATTTTTTGGCCATCCCAAAAAACTTTTCCATTCCCATTTAAAGTAACAAATATGTTGCTAAAGTTATTTCTCTATCTTTTGCACAAATTTCAACCACACTGTTTTTACTTAATTATTCTACGTGCAAATCAACTTTGGCAAAGTTTTATGGGACGGAGGGAGTAGTATATTAAGTGGTAACAAACAACAACATTACCCTAGGCTGCAAAGGCTCCCACCTATGGTGGGGTAAGGGGGATCCGATGTATGCAGTCTTACCCATGTACTAAAGCTCAGAGAGACTGTTTCTGGATGACCCATGATGAAATTTGAGTCAAAAATTGCATGGATTGTCTGCCTGCTTCATAAAAAAGAAGCGTAGATAGTTTAGTGAGCCAATTTGCTTTATTCCATGATATTTCCAAGCCAAAAAAATGGTGAGTATTTAGCTCCATTGGAAATGATGGAAGAATAGTATATTAAGTGGCATAAGAAAAAAATCTGTAAATCCATATACGTAGTATCATATTTGACCTTTAAAATATTTGCCGATGCAAGCTATTCATCAAAATACAAAACATAAAAACGCCAAAAATTCATATATGTTCATTGGTTCAGTGGTAACTAGCGACTGGTTATCCCCTAGATATAAGATAATCTAGTATATCCAACATACATCTTCAAGGCTATTTATTATTATTATTATGATTATTATTTATTTTTAACTCCGATGTCATGTCGATTCATGTTAGCCGACCCCAAACTCTTTTTGGGGTTAAAGCTTGGATGTTGATGTAGTTGTTGTAGGCTTAGGAATTGAAAACTAGTGAACTACGTATTTTCAAGAATCACTTCTACACCAATATCGTCTTCTGTCAAGTTAGACAACCCAGCAGTCCCCCCATTTTGTAAGAGATCTACCACTCAAAATCAACCCTAGGAAGGTCTTTTAAGGCGTGGTTGCATGACCCCAGCTGGACTTAATCTTAACCCAGGACTGAACCAAACCGAATGGTTCACATTTGCCCATATTAACATGAGACATGCATAGGGGAGTGATTTTTGCTAGATTTGATGAAATATGCAGAGTTGCTCTTTCTTAATGCTCTGTAACATTCATGTTTCATTTATATGGTAAATTGAGGTGCAAAGGGAGATAATTATAGCCTCTGTTTCTGTTGTTTAAATGAGACTAAGAAGTGGTTTTTCATTTATCTGACTTGCTGATGTTGAATACAATGTAGAGGGAGATATGCTGGTTGCTTCCTGCTTCTCAAGATGACCATAAGGGTGTACGTTATTTATCTGCTCTTATCTTGTTGTAAATTGTGTTGTTCTCATTGTCTTGTGTGTTTACAAAATGTAATGTTATATGAATATTTACTTTAATAATGTTAAGACACTCACATTAAAAAATAAAACAGTTTCAGGATTTCACATCATACTTGAAACAGAGGGAGTGTGCGGGTGTCATTAAGTTGCCAGCTGTAGGATCTATATGGGCTAGACTTCTTTTTATCCTTCCGCAGTGTCCAGAGACCTGGTCCATGCTCTCTCTTGAGCCCAACCCAGTGCCTTGCCTCATTGGTTTGGTCCTGCCCAAAGAAACTAACTTTGAATGGGTATGACATCCTTTATTTATGGATTATAATCAAAATGGTCTCTGCTTTGCAAGTGGAGCCGGCAGCGCTATTCGAGGAGAGAGAGGTAAATACCATTTTCCAAACATATTAGAAATGACTGACTGACTAATTCTATGTTTTTGTAAATATCTCCAGTTTCATTAGGAAATTGTCTGGATATTAAATCAAATACTTGTCTCCAATTGATGGGTTGTATTTAGGATTTCATTTATTTAATCATGAAGTTTGTCAGACTAGAAACGCTTTGAGAGCCAGTTAACCTCTATTTGCTCTTCTTTTTATAGAACTGTACTCGATGATCAATGTAATGAATGAGCAACAGTTTCGGGGATTGCCCGAGTATTTTGATGTTGTTTCGAGAAGTATTTATTCCTTAATGAATGAGAAACAGTTTTGGGGATTGCCAGAGTACTTTGAATTAGGATTGCCTTGGGTAAGTGCCTCTTGGGTAAGGATTATCTGTTCTTTTTTAATTTTCGAAAAACAAGTGTTTGGTAAACTATGTCAGTGAAATATGTAATATGCTACTCCTCACGCCTCTAATCCCCACATCCCTCCCTTGTTAGTAAAATGTACCATTAGTTTGTGCTTCTCTTTCATACTTCTACTCTTTGCTCACTCTTTCCACTAGAGGTGGGCCACATTCCTAAAAAGTTGTGCTTGTGCAAAACCAAATGTTTAAGAACAAATCTAGATACTTGGGTACTTATTTTAATATTAAGAAGACTAAACTATCTTAATTGTTAATTTGTTATTATGCAGCAAAATTTTCTACTCCCTAAACATTGGTGAGTTTGGTCTCATGTAAAGAAGAAATAGATGAACCTTTCTGTGAAATTACAGTTGGGTTTGTGCTTGTATTATGTTATTTCTTATTTCTTTCGTAGGGCTCTAGAACAAAAACATATTTGCTGACTTCGCTGTACTGTATTGGCATTGTAAATGTAGTGTGTACACGGTTAATTTTATTTACGTTCTTCTATTGCTCTTAATTGTGAAAATTTGCTTCCACCATTATTTTCTTGGGAAAGCCGAATTCTTTATGTTTGCATAATATCTGATGGAGTAATTTAACTGTAAAAATGATGGTTAATTACTTACTATTTAATTCATTAATTATTATAAGCATGCAACCCTGGTGAAAAGCCATCCCAACAACTGCTGGGAGTCTTAGCCATGTACATACATAAACAGTTGTAGATAAGTTGGTCTGTTCAATTATAAGGTATAGCACTGTTAGATTTTGTACTAAAACTGAGAGGACAGACCCCTACTTGGTTGTCAGACTTAGTCCTGTACATGACCCAATAATAATACATTTTACAGCACTTGGAAATAAATCAAGTTAAAGAGGTGGGGAAAATAACAAACTAGTGGAGTAGTAATAATTCACTGTACAAACACTAGTAATTATAATAATACTAATAAGTTGCATATCATTACCTTCCCATCTCTCTGTCTATACACAACCCTTACAACTCATGCTTTTGTCAATAACCTATTGTTGTTTTATCAAGTCCATTATTTTCACAAGTTATATTTTCCCCACTATTTCTAACTTTTGAAGTAATCTTCTATTTTGTTTAACTTGTAAGACTTATTAATCAAGGTGAATATATATTTAGTGAAACCTCTATACAGGAGTATTGTATACAAGGATAATAGTGTCTACTTCATTATTAAATATATTGGTCACAACTTTATGATTTTTTATTTCGTTATAACCTCTCAGTTAGAATAGAACTTGCTTGGTCTTAGTACTTATAAGTTTGAAATGCTGAATAGTGTACAGGTCCATTTAGTAGACTTGAGAATATTAAGAATTGGGGTGAATTTGTGTAAGTGGTTCCTATATTTATGAAGTATGTGACTGGATTCTTTTTCATGAGACAGTGGGAATAGATATTTACGAAAATCATGAAGAGTGTGTGTGGGTTGTGTTATAAAGTAGAAGCATTGTACCTTTGAGTACTAACTATTACAGGTGTGATTTTGTAAAGAAATTTATTTGCTGTAAAGATAAACAGAGCATAAATGTACTGGTGGCGTGGAATAAGGAGACATAAATGAAATGAAGATGAAGTGATATTTGGTGGGGTATGACTAAATGGGGGAGAAGTCATGTGATCACAGTGGAGAGAGGGAGGGTTGAATGATGGGATGAGGAGAGTGAATAATCCAGTCAAAGTTTTGGGAACCCGCCCGCCCACCCACCCACCCACCTTCATTTCATCTCTTTTAACTCTATCTGGCTGAGTTGGTTTGGTATCATTCGCCCCATTCTACAAGGCAGTTAAGAAAATGGCTCTACCTCCTCTCTTCTGAATCTGATGAATCTCATACTGTGATATTGTTTGCTGTGATATACATAGTATATTGCTTTCAATCATTTTAAGAGTTATTCAATGTTGAATATTGGAGTTTCCAAGACGCTCTTTTGACACTGAAATACGGAGTATGCATCATAGATTTGTTTCTAATTGGATTGATTTGGAACTAGATGAGGTCATACTAGATTTTAACAAACCAGATCGGATCAAAGCATATCAAACTAAATCAAGTCGAATTTCAACAGTTGTAAAACACATTTCGTAAATTAGGGGCAGATCAAAGAATCATAAATATATACGTAGTAAAGTTTTGGAACAATTTTTTTATACTAATAATATTAAATTGTGATATAAAAATAATAAAATGGGGAGTTGAACACACGTATTTGTTTCAATTTTGAATTTCAAATTTATAATTTATTTTTGGTGTTTTTTAAAATTTATTTTATCTATTTAAACTTAATAAGGGTAAATTTATTCGTTTATAGGAAAATGAATTATTTTTTCCACATTTTAGAAGTTTAGGTGTATATGTGGACCTCCACTACTTCAAATATTTTTTCACATTTTCTCATAAAAAATGTAAAATTTTAATCTTTAACCTTACAACATAAATTCTTTAAAGTTCGCCACTGAACATAGATATGACTAAATAGTGCAGTAATGGGTATTTTTTTTTTTTTTTTTGGTAACTATAAACTATCTACGTATTACAGAATGAAATCACAAAATACAACAATTAACAAACATCACAAGTACCTACACAATTTGAGCATTTAATTAGTGGCTAAAAGTATTAGGGAGTAATTAACTAGGCAGACAAGCAACCAATGCCATAACGAGTGTTTGGAAAGACTAGAAACAGCCCACTGCAAATAATCCCAACTATCAACGGGAAACCCTTGCATCACTTCATCCATCTCCTTCCCATGTCCGGGGAACAGACAGTTTGTCACGCGGTGGTCGGAAAATGCGATTGCCGTGAAAACCATCACCGACTAGGCCTGGACTCGGGCCGGGCGGCCCGACCCGGAACCGGCCCGGCCCGGCCACTGTAGCAACCGGCCCGGCCCGGTGGCCCGGTCCACCGGCGTTTCGGGTCGAACCGGCCCGGTGGTTCCCGGTTCCGGGCCCGGGCCTTCCAAATGGTGAACCGGCCCGGCCGGTTCGAGCCCGGTCCGGGCCGGATTTTAATTTTTTTTTTTTTGAAAATTTTTTAAAGTTTTGGGTTGGAATAGGTATTTTGGGCCATTTGAGGTGGTTTGGGGTGGTTTGGGGTTGAGGGGGAGGGGTAGGGGATTAAATAGGAGAACAAAAATAAAAAAAAAAATTAAGTGGGCCGGTTCGGCCCGGCCCGGCCCGGCCCGGTTTGGCCCGGAACCGGGACCGGAACCGGCCACCGGCGGTTCGGGCCCGGGCCTCCCATTTCCTGGCCCGAGGCCCGGCCGGGCCCAGGCCCGAACCGGGCCCGAACCGGCCCGAGTCCAGGACTATCACCGACATCACCGCGTGCACGAAGTCCATGAATCCAACCTTGTACCGGTCGTCCTTCGGGACTTCCACTCCAGGGTCGCTCTTGAACACTGCCAACCCCCGGGGCGTCACAAAGCCGTAGTACACTTTCCGGCCATCCGGCCCCTGGAAGCTGTCGGTGAAGTGGAAGAAGAGGCAGGAGAGGGCGCAGAGGGCCAGGAGGACGATGATCATGGTGGTGCTGACGGGGGAGCACTGCCCTTTGGCATAGATGCTAGGGAGGACCATCTCGAAGGTCAGCAGCGTTCCGGTCGGGAGGAAGTTGACTAGCAGTGACGTTTTGGAGAGTGTTTTTTGTACCCCTGCCGCCATCGCCCGTTTTTTCTGACCTCCTATGGGCACTGGCATGTCGGGTGCACCCATGGGTAGAGATGAGTCTGGGGATATTCTGATTCCGATTCCTTCTTCTTCGCGCGCGATCCATTTTTGTGAGAATTATTACAGATGTGTTTAAGACGTGATTCAGTTTTTAAGTTGTGAATTGAACACCATTATGCTTTACGTTGTAACTGCCATTTTCCCAGTTATGGGTAATCGGTATATCAAAGACGTGTAGCGGTCTCATCTCACTTGAGGTTTGTGTTGAGATTTATTCGGTGTGAATAAACAACGTGTGATTGAGGCAAGGTGAGTGCCATACGAATTAAGAATAATCAATATCTATGATTATTTTGCTACGGAGTATTAAACTATACATACATTAGGGGTTGGGGCAACATGAGTGACTATCTGTGATAGTGCTCGAACCTATTGGCTATTATAGATTATATATATAACTAGTGTTTAAAAAATTAAAGATGACACACCGATTGATAGAGTAGAGTTTCATACAAATCCTTTGTTTGGATTTCAAACCCGGTACCTCTTCCTTGTGGCATCCTCTTTCTACCAAGTGAGCTACACTTTCGGTTGATTTGGTAGTGTCTAACATACACTTCATGGCGTTTGGTACGTACCATCCCACTTCTAAATGATACGATAATGTTCTCATGTCTCTAAATAAATTACTCACTCTCTTTAAATTGTAATGCCAACATACACAATGTAAAACAAAATACGTAGTAATATCAAAACAGTGTTCTCTTTTATGAAATTTATACTCCGTCAATGGGGCATTTCATAAAGTCAAAGGAAACAAATAATTTTGTAATATGCGTGAAATTCAAATCGGGCCTTTTATATATAGGGACGGAGGAATTACACAACACTGAGTTTTGATTTTTTTTATATAAATATGAAAACTGATTACAAATACCTAAATTTGAAAGACGTGTTTTACAAAAAATTCAAGTAAAAACATCACAACATAATGATGTTATTTTAACAATATTGAGTGATTTTTTATTGGGTGAATTTGACTTTGCATCCCATTTTGAAAATGTTTTGATTTTGCACTCAATTACATAACCTTTTGTGAAGAAAAATTTCCCAATTGAGTGCAAACTGCAAAGTCACAGGATTTTTAAGTGAAATGAGTTGCAAAGTCAAAATTTTTTGAAAATAGGATGCAAAATCTAATATCTCCCGAAATTGGAGTATAAAGTCAAATTCATTCTTTTTATTAAACTGTGTTTTTAGCATTTGCATGCAGTACTATTTTTTCAATTATATTTTATGTGTCTTTGGTAGCATTTATTCCAATATCCTACAATTGCTCATATGTTTAAAAAAGGCGATATAATTATTTCAATAAGCCACTAGCTTAGACGACTAAACTAATTAGGGTTTATAATAACGGGCCGATTCGAGATAATTAGTATATCTAAACTGTGTTAGAAAGGTTCTGCCTTGTTTAATATTGAGTCTTGAAAACACGAACTAGACTCGTTTATTTGAGAACAAAAGTCAAGCTCACTTAGGGGCTATTTACTTTTTTTCCCATCAAGTCCGGAATGGATCAAGATGTATGTCTGCATTAAGTTGTCTGTCTGTATTAAGTGACACTGAGATATCAAACTGTTTACTAAGTGTGCTGAATGAAAAATTTGAATCATGTCAAATGACCAAATAACCCTCTTGTTTGTATATTGTCTATTTACTTTCCTTGTTCCCAAAGATAATTGGCATCTTATTAAGTACTACGTATTTAATAAGTTCTAAAATTAGAGACCTAAATTTCTAATTAAACAAAACTGGGAGTTCATATTTCCTCTATTCCAATATAATTGAATACGACCAGTATAACGTACAGAATGAAGATGAGTGTGTTTGTCTATGGTTTCTATTCCAATAAAATTGATCCAAGTATGAAGGTAAGCAAGTGGATTGTCTGGGAGTTTCCTCTTGGTTCAAAATCGACGGGCAAATAGCACATACGATGTTTTGAGCAAAGCATGTATGAAAATTTAAAAACAAACAATTGGAGATGTAATCTAGCTAGAGAAATATCGAATGGTGAAGGTGTAGAGCTGCAAGTAACGAATATGTTTGCTTGAGAAGATATGAACGACCTTGCTCTCTTTTTTCCGTCGATGGAGAATTGGTTCTTCAAAGGGGCAAAAGAAACTATCAACTAAGGTTAAAAGAGAGAAATCAGTTTCTTCTGTGTCTGAAGCCGGAAGAGTGCCTTTTTGCTGAGCGAATAAGTCAGTTTTTGACCTAGCGAATAAGTCATATGTTTTATTAAGTTATAAGTAAACATCAATTAAGGAATGAACGGTTAAGTCATCAATTTTATTAAGTCCATTAAGTCCTAAGTAAACAGTCCCTTAGACTATATAGACTTGATATATAGGGCCCGTGGTGGGCTCGTAAGTAGGGCATAAGTGTCATTCCATCACAATCACACACACAATAGATATAAAAGGTTTATTTCGAGCTCGAGCTATGAATGACTCTTGACAAACCGAGTTCGAGCTCAAGTCTGTGATCAAACCTCGAATAGCGGACTTTGGCTCACTCGAATAATAGCACAATCCGTCTATCCAATACTCTTATGGTTCATTATCGTGCCACTTCAACACTTTGACCACATATACATAACATATAGTCATATACCATAGACAAATTTTGTAAGATGAAATACCGAGTAATAAACAGGACAAACATGTGATGTTTGCATTTTTTGTAGAACATTTACTTTTAGTTGTTTACTAGTCCGTATAACGTATTGAGTAATTGAGGTTATGGGCAACTTAATTTTTTAATGTTAAATTAAAGGATGATATATGTGATCACTGATGGTACACGTTTCCCATAGCTTAGAGCATCTTTAATGAGGATGTCTATTTTCTTACATACTCTTACAATTGTGTCTCATTTTTATCTCACAAATTTTATGTGTAGGACCTACATATCTCCATATTTATTTTCATTTTCATTTTTTATATCACTTCTAACCCACTTTTCATTCACTTTTGCTCCTCGATTCCCGTGTAATGTCTATTTGTGGACATTGTCATAGATATTGTCTACAATTTACTATTATCTCTCTCTTCCTTTTCATTTTTCCATCCACGCCACTTTCTTCATATTAAATTAAAATAATTATTCTATCTTTATCTCTCTCCTATGCCATGTAGTATACATTTTACTCCAATCCACTGCCCCATTGGAGATGCTCTTACTTAGCATGATTATCATAGTGAAAAATGATCAGTGTACACGTCTTTTTATGTACACTTGTTTGTCAACACTGACAGAGTTGTCTTTATGGTCCTACAAAGTTGTATGTATCTAGTCAACTATGTTTGTGTAGACAAAACAAGTGTGTCAAAGTGTACACGGTTCATGGTACATATTTTTTTCAGGAACCGAGAACTGAACCATTAATAAAAAATTGGAACCGAACCGTTAACAAATAACTAATAAATGTTGGAACCGAATCGAACCGGGTCATAACGGTTTGGTCCGGTTCGATTCTCCAGTCCCAGCCCTAAAAATATGTAAGGTTGAAGTTTTTTTTTGATAGATTGGCCAATGGAGTAAAAACTACCCCATTTACCAAACTCAGGCTGCGATTGAATGCTCCCGGCCTCACACATGCACTACCATGCATCAGAGAGAGATCATGCGTAGCATGAAATAAAACTCCCCACTTTAACTGACACAGTCCACTCGGCCCCACCTCTCAGTCAAACTGCGCCTCTTTTGCTCACATTCCACTACCGTACTCCACTTTGACTCCGCCACTACCGCCGCCTCTCCGCCGTTCACCCCCGCCCTCTCTTTTTCTGCGTCAAATAATCATAATTTATTTAAGCAGGCACACATGACACACCCAGAAATTCATTCAAAGACACCTTTAAAAGTACAAACTCCGGGGGACCCACAACTCTCCTCCCACCCCACCTCTTCATTTCCCATACATTTTTCTATCTTGTGATCCTTGTGTGAGTGTTTATATACGTATAAATTTCACCCCTTTTATTTGCATTAGTTGATCTCAAAATGGGAAATCCTCCATTTTCTCCATCTGCTCTATTCTGCACAGAAAGTGGGTCTGGTTTGAATGATGAAGGAGATGATTCCACATTGATTAGTGGGGAGGATGAAGATGAAGATGATGAGTATATACAAGTTCTGCTTGATAAAGAAACTTCCATTAATGGCGGCTTCCCAAAGCTTGATCTTTCACAGGATGGAAATGAAAGTTGGGTTCAAGAAGCTCGATCTGATGCAATACATTACACTCTTAAAGTCTGTTTCTTTTTCTTTTTCAATTCTTTTCCGTTGGTCTTTCTTGAATCTTGATTCTTGATCACAGCCGTTTTTTTCACTTTAATCAGAAATTATTCTGACATTTCATCTTTGAATCCCTTTTTTTATAGACTGGAGGAGCGTTTGGATTCGGAATGAGAACAGTTTACCTATCCATAACTTACCTTGATCGGTTTCTTTCAAGAAGAACCATAGATGTGAGGGTATTTGTGATTTTGAATAAATGCATATATTATGGCTCTGAATTGCTTTAATGTAGTGATAAAAAGTTTTCCTTTTTGAATAAATGTATGTGTGTAGAGAGAAAGGTGGTGGGCCATAAGGCTATTAGGGATAGCATGCCTTTCCTTAGCAGCAAAAATGGAGGAAAGCAGAGTACCTGCCCTAACAGAGTACCCCCCACCCATGGAAAACCTCTTCACTTTTGAGAGCACTTCGATCCAAAGGATGGAGCTTTTGGTGCTCAATACATTGGACTGGAAACTGCGCTTCATAACTCCTTTTTCTTTCACTCCTTACTTTTTGTCAAAGTTTATCACCCCACACTCTCATATGCATAGAAAGAGCTCCATTTTATCAACAACTATGGACATCATCTTCAATGCCATCCGAGGTAAATCGCGCGCATTTCCCGAATCCGTGTGCTCGTTGTTTTCGTTGTCGGATCGAGTTATTCTTCTTAGATCAACAATATATGATTTAAGAAATTCAGGGTCGCATCCTAAAAGATGAATGTGACAAATATAAAGTAACTATAAGTCTGTAGGGTGTTGTTTCATTAGAGAATTGAATTGAATTGCTTCCCCTACAATGTTAGGCTTAATTTGTAATTGAAGTGAATGTTTTTTTTTTTTTTTTTTTTTAATTTGTAATTGAAATAAGGTTGACTTTAAAAATAATTCTCTGATCAAAAGTTTGAACAAGGCAATGATGAGGCTTTGTAGTTTGAGCTAGCCTATATTATAATGTTATTTGATTTTAGAGTTATTTTAAGGCACCTTTTCCTTTGTCTTCAGATGCAAAGTTAATGAGTCACATGCCATCCGTACTAGCAGCAGCAGCAACATTACTGGCATTGGATGGTGGACTAGTCAAAGAGGGTATGGAGGTTATTATCAGTGCCTTACCTTCAGGTGGATGTCTTAACATTGTGAGTCTTATCTTACTGTAATTTTTTCTTTCTTTTTAATGTACCTTTATTATAACTTTATTTCTATGACTTCTTTTATTATTATGATTTATTATTATTTTTTATTTCTGTTATTATAATGCAGGATGATGTTTTCTGGTGCTATAAGAAAATGAAGGAACTAGAGAGGGACAAAAAAGAGTTTCCAAAGAATTGCGGTCTTAAGAGAAAGAGAAGTGATGATACATGATTGTGACAAAATTTCGGATGTTAATAAAAAGGAGTGTCCAAATTTCTGTTCAAAGTTTAATAGTCATTCTTCATTTGGTTATCTTTGAATTCGTTTGTTTTGGAACTTATCACTTTACCCAAAGGCCAAACCCTTTTTGGTGTTTATATGTAATCTCTTGCAACCCTAAGTTTTAAAGGGTGGCTTGGGATATTTTGTTTTGCTTTAAACATGGTGTCGGAATGTGTATCTGTATGTACTCTGATTTGTTCATCTACTTAGGATATTGTTTATTGATTTACATTTGTTGAAATTTGTAAGTGAGCAAACTAAATCTTTTTTAATTTGTT